ACAAGGCTAAGTGACTCAATTATGCATGAAAACATAGGAACTGGGGTGCAGAAAAATGGCAGCAGATGCTCTGGACTAATGAGTCAAAATCTGAAATCTTTGGCTGTAGCAGGAGGCAGGTTGTTTGCCGAAGGGCTGGAGAGCAGTACAATAATGAGTGTCTGCGGGCAACAGTGAAGCAAGGTGGAGGTTCTTGCAAGTTTGGGTCAGGATCAATGGTGTCCTCAATACTGAGAAATACAGGCAGATACTTATCCATCATGCTATACCATTCGGGAGGTGTGTGATTGCCCTCAAATTGATTCTGCAGCGGGACAACGACCCCAAACATACAGCCAATGTCATGATGAACTATCTTCAGCATAAAGAAGAACAAGGAGTCCTGGAAGTGATGGTTTGGCCCCCACAGAGCCCTGATCTCAACATCATGGAGTCTGTCTGGGATTACATGAAGAGACAGAAGGATTTGAGGAAGTTTGGCCCCCACAGAGCCCTGATCTCAACATCATGGAGTCTGTCTGGGATTACATGAAGAGACAGAAGGATTTGAGGAAGCTTACATCCACAGGAGACCTGTGGTTAGTTCTCCAAGATGTTTGGAACAACCTACCTGCCAAGTTCCTTCAAAAACTGTGTGTAAGTGTACCTAGAAGAATTTATGCTATTTCGAAGACAAAGGGTGATCACACCAAATATTGATTTGATTTGGGTTTCTCTTCTGTTCGCTCACTTTGCATTTTGTAAATTGATAAACATAAACAATTACAATATATATTTTTGAAAGCATTCTTACTTTACAGCATTTTTTCACACCTGCCTAAAACTTTTGCACAGTACTGTATAGACATTTGGCCCCCACAGAGCCCTGATCTCAACATCATGGAGTCTGTCTGGGATTACATGAAGAGACAGAAGGATTTGAGGAAGCTTACATCCACAGGAGACCTGTGGTTAGTTCTCCAAGATGTTTGGAACAACCTACCTGCCAAGTTCCTTCAAAAACTGTGTGTAAGTGTACCTAGAAGAATTTATGCTATTTCGAAGACAAAGGGTGATCACACCAAATATTGATTTGATTTGGGTTTCTCTTCTGTTCGCTCACTTTGCATTTTGTAAATTGATAAACATAAACAATTACAATATCAAAAACTGTGTGTAAGTGTACCTAGAAGAATTTATGCTATTTCGAAGACAAAGGGTGATCACACCAAATATTGATTTGATTTGGGTTTCTCTTCTGTTCGCTCACTTTGCATTTTGTAAATTGATAAACATAAACAATTACAATATATATTTTTGAAAGCATTCTTACTTTACAGCATTTTTTCACACCTGCCTAAAACTTTTGCACAGTATTGTATATATTCATTAATCCATCTTTCAGGAATAATAATAATTATTCATTTCAGCAATAATTATTAATATAAATCATTTCAAATTTTGACTCATCAGTCCAGAGCACCTGCTGCCATTATATTATAATTAATAACTATTCCTAAATAAATTAATAAATATCTCCTTCAACAATATAAAATCAATGAGAAAACATTCCAGAAAAATAATATTTAAGGTGTTTTTATGGCTTACTATTGTTTCCATCTAATACTTACTTGGGTGCCAGATGCTTTAAAAAGTAACCCATCACCTTAAGTGCTTGTACTCTGATCCCTTCACTTTTTGAAGCAAGAAGTTTGTAGATAACGCTAAACAAAAGAGTTTTTAAAAGTCATAAGCAATGGCTAAAATAGCTTACATAGACAATGATCTAACTACAGTTACAGAATAAGACTTATTGTATACTTATTAAATCAGCCCTGCATATTACTGAGATACTTTTCCTACTGAATCTAAATGGAAAAAAAATTACTCATGATTAACCCAAATCCTACTTTTATTAATGGAAACCAGAATTAATTTAGCTAGCAAAGGGTTACAAAAAGACAGACACAAAGATATTAGTTCAAAATGACAAATGCAAAAGATTTCCTTAAAATAATATAAAATATTATTTTTTGAAATATACAGAGAACGCAAACTGGAGAAACCATTCATTTGCAGCCTTTTTCTATCTCTTTGTCCAGCTTGCAGTGTTAGGTAAACATTTATTAATGTGTCCACATTCCAAGTGACAGACTAAAGAATCAATCTCTTTGAAAAAGAAAGCTATGGTAACTGTAATATTTGACACGTGTCCCTTGCGAGTCTTATATGACCTCACTCAGAAAAGTGAGGGAAACAAATATCACTGAAATCTTTTTCCTCTTACACGTACTCACTGGAAATAATTACATACAAAGAAGGTTAATTCTATACATATGAGAATTATGATGAGGCAGTCTTGCTTATAACATTGGAGAATATATGCATTGCTTATTTGTGTATGTTTTAATTCTACCAGTATCAGCTCTTAAATTTCTGATCTCTTTTTTTTAAAAAATGAATCCTATCCAATGTGAAAAACAAAATAATGAATATATATCGATTACCAAAACAGCTTGTCTCACTATAATTATAACTGACAGGTTGTAGATATGGGAACAAAATCCTACACACTGAATGTAAAAAAATGCTATTTGAATGGCTAATTCTCAAAAATTTGACACGTAACTGTCAGTCTTCCTTCAGAATTCCTACTGCTCATAGTGCATAAGGTCAAGGTATTAGAGTCCATCAAATCTGATACAGGATCCCAATCCAAAATTCCAGAAATGACATTTGGTAGCTGGCATGGAAATTTGATCATCTTTGGATCACAGAGACGGCTCCTCAGCTGTTTATCACCCAGCAGGATCACAGGACGCCTTAAATTCCTCCAGATAAAGGAGGAAATTTGAAATTAGCCTATTTGATCTCCAGACAGCGGTTCCTCATGAGTAAGTCACAAGGAAAGAGATTTTTGTGAGAAGCTTACGAATGGAGTGGCTGGGAGGCGAGGATTCCATCTTTGTTCGAGGCTGAGGAGCAGACTGCTAAAGGACACTGAAACTGACCAACCTCCATTTTTATCATACTTTTATATTGTAATTATTCTTTGCTTTAAGAGAGGCTTCTTCTTACAGTAGATAAGTATTTCTCTGGTATTTTTCTTTTTTGGGGGGGACTATAAATTTTGAAAAGATTTGCAGATTTAAAATAATATTTTTGGATTATTCGCAAAAAGCCAACAATTAAAGTGGCACAAGAAAGTTAACAATGGGGAAATGGGGAGATTTAATTTTTTTGTTTAAGTTTACTTTTTCAAGAATCAACTTTGCTAAAATCATAGCTACTTTAACAGGGCTCCATTCTTCCATGAGAAAGTTTGTTGTTTAATATAAGTGATCAGGCAATTGGATGGGATTATACATCAAAGAGAAACAACAATCTGTCTAGTTTATTTTTAGTTGAGTTTATTCTCAACAGAGATACCTGCTGGCAATTACCTGTAATTATTCTATTTTCTCTTTGTCTTTTTTTCTTTCTGGAGCTAAGTGTACTTTAGCTCCAGCAGTCACCTGCTGGCAATTGTTTGGAATTACACTCTTAAAGGGTTATTGGATAATTTTTCCTGGGAGGTTCTTTTTCCCTTTTCAATGCTACATCTATACTCTTCAGATTTTTATAATGGCAACACATACCGAATTGGAGGCTAGAAGAGCTTCTATAGAGCAACCAATGGAAAGGGAAGATGAAGAAGAGAAGATAAACCAATTTCTGCCAATCTACTTAAATCTATGATTGATGAAATGGGAGTTATACTGACTGACTCATTAGATGCTAAATTGGATGCTAAATTTTCGACTGGACAAGATGGATATTTTTGTAAAACAAATGACTGTAGATATGAAACAAATGTCTGGAAAAATAAAACAAATGACAGAATGGAAATTTTGGAGAATAAACCAGCAATCAGAAACTTACAATATGAAAGAGGGATGGATAATTTGGCTTTTTTTGGAACTGAGAGAAAGAATTTTCCCTGCAATTTAGAGCTATACCAGAGATTCCAAATGAAGATATTAAGAGACAGATGGTTCAAGCTTTGTCAGAACTCTTAGATTGGGAAGAGGAAGAGACAGGAGAGGAAATTGATAAAGCATATCAGATTAATTCACATTTTGCTACAATAAGACATCTGCCAAGAGATGTTATAGTGCGTATTGTAAGGAAGAATACAAGAGATCAAGTTTTGCAACAGTATTTTATATCAAGATTAAAAATTGATAACATAGATATAATTATTTTGAAAGAAACTCCTATAGAATTTTACATAAAAGATTATTCTTTCCTGACTGAGGTATTAAAGCAGAAGAAGATTCCATTCCCTTGGGAGAAGTTGGAAGGTGTAACTTTTACTTTTCAACAGAGGAGATTTTGACTGAATGCTATTCAAAAGGCTAGAGAATTTCTGGAAAAATTTAAAGGAGATTTGGAAGAGGTCCAAATGGAAATTCCAAAGAAAAGTGACCAACATTTGTGACAGGTAAAGGAGCTGGAGAGGGACGATTTGGGATCAGGCACTACCGGCATGGATTTTTCTAAATGATTTGCTGAAAGATAGATTATAAGTGCCTAATGTGAAATATACATGGGGCTACCCTCCCTCACAAAAAGAAAAAAGTATTTTACTATTTGAAAAAACTAAAGACGTAATTTGTTTGCAAGAGATTCATATTAGAAATAGAGATACAAAATGTTTAATATGTAAAATTTGGGAGAAAAATTTATTTCAGTAGGACCAAAAAAACGAGTGGAGTTGTCTTATATGTTAACCCCCATTTAAAACCACAGCTAATACTGACTAATCAAGAAGGTAGATTTGTGGGGTTGGAAATTGAACTACATGGATTTAAAACTCTACTTTTAGGAATTTATGCTCCAAATGAAGATAAAGGAATTTTTTATAAACAACTTATGTAACTATTGATAAATTTCATAGGAGAACTGGATTTTGATGGGAGATTGGAATGGTGTTGTTAGACAAAACATCTGAGAAGAAAATTAAAACTACTCAAGGTAGAAGATTACCCAACAGTTTTTTCGACTTGATGGACAATTTAACTTTAATGGATATTTGGAGACAAAAAAATGGCAATTCTAGAGAATATACTTATTTCACTGAAAGATATAGATCATTTTCAAGAGTAGATATGGATTTCAAAGGACCTAGTTGCTAGGACAACCAAAGTTGAGATTTTACCAAAAACTTTTTTTGATCATAATCCAGTGGGCTTCACTCTTAAAATGAAAACTACTATTTTCAGGTGGAGATTAAATGAGACATTATTACAAAAAGACTAGATAGTGAAAGATTGTACAAAAAGTTCAAATGAAGGCACAGAATTAAAAACAGTTTGGGATACAAGTAAAGCTTTTTTTAGAAGTTGTTTCATCCAATATAATACAGATTTGGGGAAAAAAAGCAGAAATAAAAACACAAACTATTTTAGCAATTAAGAGAAAAGAGAAAAAAAAATTAAAGGAATTGATGACAAAGACAAGCATTTTATATCAAATCAAATGATTACAGCAACAGCTATCTATGTTGACAGTAAGAGAAATAGAAACCAAAATGAATTATGTAAAACAAAGGAATTTTGAATTTGCAAACCAACCAGGAAAGTGATTAGCTTATAAATTAAGGAAGGAGAAAGAAAAGAGGATGATATTGAAGCTTTGGGAGGGAAATACAGTTTTAACAGACAATCTGGCTATACAAAAAGCTTGTCATCAGTATTATTCTAATTTGTATAAAGGACAGGATATTTCTCTGGAAAGAACAGATGATTATTTAAAACTGCAAAATTTACCATCGCTTATAGACACACAAAGACAGATAATGAATGGGCCTGTAACAATAATGGGACTTTCGGAAGCTATAAAAAGATTAAATTAGGAAAAGAACCTGGGCCAGATGGATTATCAGGGTCTTATTATAAATATTTTGAGGATGAAATTTCACAGCTACTTCAAAATACAATGAATTTTATTTACAAGGAGACGGGATGCCACAGTCTTGGAAAGAAGCTAATATTGCTTTAATACCTAAAGAGAGACAGGATTTAAACTTAACAAAAAATTACAGACCACTATCGTTATTAAACAGTGACCAAGTTATTTACAACGATTTTGGCAAACAGATTAAAAATAGTTTTATAAGATTTTGTTCATGAAGACCAATGTGGATTTTTGCCTAAAAGACAATTAAAAGACAATATTAAAACAGTACTGGACATTATAGAGTATTTGGAATAGTATAATGAAAAACAAGCTGCACTGATCTTTTTAGATGCAGAGAAAGCCTTCAAAAATCTTAATTGGCCTTTCTTGTTTAAAGTTTTAGAATATATGGATTTTGGTGAGAACTTAATAAAATTGGTCAACTGAAATATCACAGAAAGTAAATTATTGTTAATGGAGATTTAATGACACCATGTCAAATTCAAAGAGGAACAAGGCAAGGATGTCCATTATCCCCACTTTTGTTTATTTTGGTTTTGGAATTTTTAAATAGAGATATAAGACAGGACGGAGAATGGGAGTACAAATCAAGAAAGAGACATATAAATTAAGAGCTTTTGCAGATAATTTGGTGTTGGTGTTACAGACCCACTGAAAGGGATAAAGATACTAATGAGAAAACTAAAGGAATGTGGTGCATTAGCTGGTTTTAAAATTAATAAACCAAAAAACAAAGACGTTAACAAAAATATGAAGGTACAAG